CCTGTCTCCCTCTCTCCCTCACCCCCTCCCTCACCACCCCCCTCACCACCTCCCTGTCTCCCTCTCTCCCTCACCCACTCCCCGTTGCTCCGCGCGTGGCGTGCAGTCTGCTGATCGTTGCCTAAGTGGCAGCCCAACACCCATCAGCACCATCAGCACCATCAGCAGCATCAGCACCCTCGGAGCAGGAATAAGAAGAAGAGGAGCGAGCGAACGAGTGGAGGAGGAGGATGAAGATGAGGAGGGACGAGGAAGAAGATCCCAACATATTTAAAAGAAGAAGAACACGTTATTCAATCCACGTGCGCCACAGCCTCCTCATCCTCCCTCCCCCTCCCTCCCTCCCTCCTCCCTCCTCCTCCTCCTCCTCGCCCTTCACTCGGCATCCTTCAGCTGTCGATGTCCGTGATTGACCGTCGTCGCTTTCTCGCCGCGCTGTTTCGTCTCCGTACGCGATGCTGCCGCGTCGTTTTCGTCTCCCCGCTCCTTTCTTTCGCGAACGTCGCGCAATTTTTTTTTCTGGTCTCACGCGGTCGTTTCACTTCTCCCTCACCTTGCCCTCCCTTCCTTCCTCCCTCCCCCCTCTCCCTCTCTCTCAACGATTTGCCACAACTGTGAGCCGCGTGTTATCATCCCTGACACGAGCGCGTGGCTGAGCCCCGATTGGAATCGCGGTGGAGGCCCTGGGGCGCGGTAGCTTGAGTCGAGAGCATACCACGCGCCACGTGTTGTGTTGTGCGTTGTGCGCGTCCGACTTCTCGCGCGCCGCACGTAGCCAACCGCGCCGAATCACTGAAACTAAAACGCCGCTATTGCACGGTTAACCCCGGGGTGACCCCCCCCCACACACATTTAGGAGCCTTTGCGAACGCAAATGTAGACGTCTAGGAAGAGCTTCGTGTATCGGTCAGGGCGCAAGGCTGGCGCGCTGCGATCCGGACTCGGTAGGCGACGGAGCGAGCCACCCCCCCGCGTAGCTAACAGGGGGGTAACGGCGGCCCCGCTTGGTTTGTGCACGAACCGTCGGCCGCACGAACGCGCAGTGCGTACATGTCAAGCGGCGCGAGCAACAACAACAAACAACAACAACAAACTCTCCGACGTTCAGATGTGCCGTGGGGAGCAGAGCGAGCCTCAATGCGCTGGATAAATCTGTTTGCAGGACCCAACAGGCCAAAAAGGGGCATCGCTTGGTCCGCGTGCGCCCTGGTTCTGACGGACAGCGCGCGCGAACAACGCCAAGCGGTTTGTGGAGGGGATGGAGCAGAGGTCGCAACCAGGTACCCGATACCTGTACCCTACCCGATACCCGGCTACCCGTACCCAGTCGGGTACGGGTAGTCGTTTGTGACCCTGGTGCGGTCGGGTACGGGTACGGGTAGGCCGTGAGTCACTGGTGAGTAGCCGTTTGTCACTCATTTCGGGTAGGGTACGGATAGGGAACGGGTCGCCGTTTGTGACCCTGGTGCGGTCGGGTACGGGTAAGGAATCAAAACCCGTTTGCGACCTCTGGGGAGGAGGCGCCGCTCATCCGCCTCGTGATATTCTGCCCCAAGCGGCGACTCCGTCTGCGCTGCGTTGCGTTGCCCTCCAGGGTCGCGACGGCGTCGCTTTGTCAGGGCGTTGACTCCGACAGTCACGTGGCCGAAATGTTCAACACGACGAAATCGCACGTGGCCGAAATTATCTTCGAAACGTCACGATTTTAAAATAGAAATTTATTTTAATTTTAATATTTTTATTTTTAAAACCCCCCACTTGAAGAGCTCAAGTTGAAATCACCAACGGTGGTGTTTGGCTCCTCCCGTGGTGATTTCAAGGTGGTGTTTGACTCCAAGGTGGTGTTTGACTCCAAGGTGGTGTTTGGCTCCATCCTTGGTGATTTCAACTTGAGCTCAGAGCTGGTGTTTTGCACCAACCTTCAAATCATCGCGGTGGAACCAAACACCAGCTTGGTGATTTGAAAAGAGCTCAAATTCAAATCGCCATGGCGTGGTGTTTGGCACTTGGTGGAAGATTCGAGGAGGTAGGAACTGAACAGACAGAGAGAGCCCCCCCCCCCCCCCACTTCAACCCAAACCATCCCTGCGCAAACGTGGCCTGAGCGGAGGCGACTCCCGTGCCGCGTTCGATCGACCCAACGGACCTGCGGGCGACGAGAAATATCCGAACCGGTCCCGGGCCTCCCCCTCGAAGGAACGACCCGGAGCCCTCGATGAGCAAGCTGGTGCGGCCGCACGGCGTGGTGCCGACCACCCCCCCCCCCCCCCACACAACCGGTGCCGGATTAAACTCGTGCGGGGCCTGTAGGATTATGTTATAAAGGGGCCCTGAATAAAATTTAAAAAGCACGCGAATATTAAAACGCAAACATTGTTAACCTGCGTAGTAAAGTCATTGTATTGTTTTTTATTTGCTACGCAGCCAGATAATACGACAAATCGCTCACCTTAAACGCCCAGTCGTTCATTAAAATTGAAGGCGGTATAGTACTATAGTGATAGAGCAAGTGCAAATTCACTGAACCGGAATTGATAGCTTGAAAGCATTTAGCGCGGGGCCCTTGAAAGTGCGGGGCCCGTAGCTACTACACGTGTAGTAACTACCACGTGTAGCTACTACATGTATGTAGCTACTACATGTGTAGTAGCTAGTAGTAGCTACTACATATGTAGCTAGCACATGTGTAGCTGCTACACATGTAGCTACTACACGTGTAGTAACTACCACATGTGTAGCTACTACATGTGTAGTTACTACACGTGTAGCTACTACACAGGTAGCTACTACACGTGTAGCTACTACATGTGTGGTAGCTACTACACGTGTAGCTACTACACAAGAAGCTACTACACATGTAGCTACTACACATGTGTAGCTACTACACACGTGTAGTAGCTACTTGTGCTACGAGTGTAATCCGGCACTGCCCACAACGCCGTCGTGCGCCGTGACAGCACTCGCCCCAACAGCCCCACGTGGGCTCCAGGCAGGAGTGGGGGGCGACCCCCATGGCGTAAGGAGAAGGGGGGGGGGCCCGGATCTCGGAGGTAGCCGCCGCCTTTATTTATTTATTTATCAACCCCCCAACCCCGGCCAGCGCTCCGTCGTCGTCGTTCGGGCACGGCGATGTCCGACGTTTCGCTGCCGCGTTCCTGGGAGATTCTTCCCGGAGCCGAATCGTTGGCGGGCAAAGAGGTGGGCCAGGTCTGCGGCCTCCGGCTGTTGGACCACTTCACCGTCGAGTCCGGCTCTGGTAGTGGACACGGGGAGACGCGGACTCGACACTTTTGACGGGAGCCACGTGCTCGAAGGCCACGTGATAGCACAGGACGCGCATTGAACACATTTTCCGACTTGACCGACAATTATCGGAACGTTTTCAACGGGACAATAGACTCACACAGAACCCACACACACACACTCACGCTTACACAGAGATCCGTAGACATACATAGAAAACATTTCGTAATGCATGACCCACAGACTTACATAGGTACTATAGAATAACATTGTGCCCATATTCTTACAGGGGACCCCATAGACATACATAGAGAGTATGGAATAGCATTGTATCCATGGACTTACAGAGACCCATAGACACACAAAAATACTATACAATAGCATTGTACCCGTACATTAATATACACTAATCGACATACAATTGGGGTGAGGTGGGTGGTGGGGGGGAGTCAATCGACGGATTGAGACCCAAAGCGACGATTGGCCGATCACGCGCCCCCCCCCCCCCCCCAGTCGTACAGACAGGACCGCAGAACGTGGGCAATTGTTGGGTAGCGTCCGGCTCCTCGTTGCGTGGCTGCTGATGCTGATGCCGCCTTCTCGCTCCGCGGAGTTGTCCACCGTCTCTCTCTCTCTCTCCGCACAGCGCTAACACAATTTAACTTTCGATTTAAAGCTTTCGTGACTGCAGGGATTCATCTTCTTGGTTCTTTCGGTAAAGTCACGGAGAAGGGAAGTAATAAAATAATAAAAAGAATTGTTTTATTATGTTTTATTTTTATTATTTTATTACTTCCCTTCTACGTGACTTTACCGAAAGAACCAAGAAGACAATTTAACTTATTCTACACCGTTATTTTGTATCATTGTAATACCCGCGGGGTTTCCCGTGCAAAGGGCGGGTCACGGCGGTCCGTATTCAGACCGACCACACACTCACCAAAGCAAACATCACTGCTTCTCGTCTTATTTAATTTTGCAACGCAACGCAAAATTACCAATCAGCAAAACAAGCAGAGAGAGAGAGCGGTCAAACTTACTGGGAACCCACATCACAGGGGCCCCCCCCCACCATGCACCCCCCCCCCCACTACCCCCCCCCCCCGCACCGCCCCCCCCCTACAGCCCCCCCATTGGGCGACCACTGTTGATTTCCACACAAAGCGGAAATCAACAGCGGTCAACTCCCAAGCAGGATGTGAACTCATCGGCTTTGCCATTGCGAGCCGCTCGCGCCAAGACACGTGACCGGATACAGCCGAGCAAGCACGGTGCCAGCCTGGCCCTGCTTGGCCCCAAACCAGATCGCGGTGTTTTGAGAGGCGGTTGCGGCGTGGAGGGATTTCAGAGTTTGATTCCAGCTCGGATTGGCAAACAGCCGGTGGAGGGGAGAAATAAACACCCCCACTCGTGCTAGCGAGGGCCTGCCGATGTGGCGGTGGCAGTCGTGTACCGAGCGCGGGAGCAGGGGGTGCCTTGCCCACCCCTGACCCCGAGCCGCGGTGGCCAAAGCTACGAATTGGGGCCCCCTCTTAACAACCATTATATGTTTTCAACAACGGTGTAAAATAACAAACAAAAAAAGTATTTAAAACGCGGTATTAATTCATGAAAGGTGTTTTAGATTAGATCGTGTTAATATCAACGTGTTGTTAAACGCGCCACCACCCGACACAGCCAATTAGTTCAGGGTTGTCACGTAAACAAAGAGTGCCAATTAGTTGCTAGTTCAGCACACGGTTGCGTTGGGTAGTAACATCCGCGACATTTACAATTCGAGTAGGGTGACGCTTCGCCGGAGATTGGTCGCGAAAAGCCTTCGTGTTCAAAACGCGTAGACGTGATGAGGACAGGAGGAGTAGTTTACTAGGCCACTGATAATGTAGTTACTACGCCACTGATAATGTAGTTACTACGCCACTGATAATGTAGTTACTACACCACTGATAGTGTAGTCACTACGCCACTGATAATGTAGTTACTACGCCACTGATGATGTAGTCACTCCACCACTGATAATGTAGTTACTACGCCACTGATAATGTAGTTACTATACCACTGATAATGTAGTCACCACGCCACTGATAATGTAGTTACTACGCCACTGATAATGTAGTTACTACGCCACTGATAATGTAGTTACTACGCCACTGATAATGTAGTTACTACGCCACTGATAATGTAGTTACTACGCCACTGATAATGTAGTTACTACGCCACTGATAATGTAGTTACTACACCACTGATAGTGTAGTCACTACGCCACTGATAATGTAGTTACTACGCCACTGATGATGTAGTCACTCCACCACTGATAATGTAGTTACTATGCCACTGATAATGTAGTTACTATACCACTGATAATGTAGTCACTACGCCACTGATAATGTAGTCACCACGCCACTGATAATGTAGTTACTACGCCACTGATAATGTAGTTACTACACCACTGATAATGTAGCTACTACACCACTGATAATGTAGTTACTACGTCACTGATAATGTAGTTACTACACCACTGATAATGTAGTCACTACACCACTGATAATGTAGTTACTACGCCACTGATAATGTAGTTACTACGCCACTGATAATGTAGTTACTACACCACTGATAATGTAGTCACTACGCCACTGATAATGTAGTTACTACGCAACTGATAATGTAGTTACTACGTCACTGATAATGTAGTTACTACACCACTGATAATGTAGTCACTACACCACTGATAATGTAGTTACTACACCACTGATAATGTAGTTACTACACCACTGATAATGTAGTCACTACACCACTGATAATGTTGTCACCACGCCACTGATAATGTAGTTACTACGATACTGATAATGTAGTTACTACACCACTGATAATGTAGTCACTACGCCACTGATAATGTAGTTACTACGCCACTGATAATGTAGTTACTACGTCACTGATAATGTAGTTACTACACCACTGACAATGTAGTCACTACACCACTGATAATGTAGTTACTACACCACTGATAATGTAGTCACTACACCACTGATAATGTAGTCACCATGCCACTGATAATGTAGTTACTACGATACTGATAATGTAGTTACTACACCACTGATAATGTAGTCACCACGCCACTGATAATGTAGTTACTACGATACTGATAATGTAGTTACTACACCACTGATAATGTAGTCACCACGCCACTGATAATGTAGTCACTACACCACTGATAATGTAGTTACTACACCACTGATAATGTAGTTACTACACCACTGATAATGTAGTCACTACACCACTGATAATGTTGTCACCACGCCACTGATAATGTAGTTACTACGATACTGATAATGTAGTTACTACACCACTGATAATGTAGTCACTACGCCACTGATAATGTAGTTACTATGCCACTGATAATGTAGTTACTACGTCACTGATAATGTAGTTACTACACCACTGACAATGTAGTCACTACACCACTGATAATGTAGTTACTACACCACTGATAATGTAGTCACTACACCACTGATAATGTAGTCACCATGCCACTGATAATGTAGTTACTACGATACTGATAATGTAGTTACTACACCACTGATAATGTAGTCACCACGCCACTGATAATGTAGTTACTACGATACTGATAATGTAGTTACTACACCACTGATAATGTAGTCACCACGCCACTGATAATGTAGTCACTACACCACTGATAATGTAGTTACTACGATACTGATAATGTAGTCACTTAGACGAAACTGGCCAGTGGTTAAAAAAAGGTGTGAATTCTCGGCAAGCGCTGCGTGTTGTTCTCAGAGCCGTGGCTTTCCCCACCGTGGGGGTCACCGTGGGGGTCACCGTGACAGTCACTGTGGGGGTCACCGTGGGGGTCACCGTGACAGTCACTGTGGGGGTCACCGTGGGGGTCACCGCGCCCTCTGCTCGCTCGCGGCCGACGCGTTTGGTGTTGCGTAGCGCGCGTCCACTGTTGATGGCTTCCGTGGAACGACGATGGGCCTCCTCCATCCATCAGTGCCTGTGCGTGTCTGTGCGTGCCTCGCGGTGGCTTCAGTGTCGACAAAGCGTGGCCGTGTCGTGCCGTGACGTGGTAGAGATCTACGTAGTCGTAGTAGTCGTAGCTGTGTAGCCGGGTATATAGGAGTAAGGTCCTTCGGCGGCTCGGTAGGTGTCCAGGTGGGTCCGTGTTCTTCATTGCAGGGAGGGTGGGGGCCACTGGTGGGCCCTGATGGGCCACTGATGGGCCCTTCAGTGCGGTCACCTGACGTGCGGCCCCCACCCGACAGGACGCAACACGTGACACCCCCCCCCCCCCCATCATCATCATCGTGCTGCTGTCACCCCCCCCCTCCCTTCCAATGGATTCAAACGGTGTTGCCGCCATCACAACGGACGATGTGGTAAGCCGGTGTGCATCCCAGCGAAGTGAACGGCTGTGAGAGAGGCGATAAGTCCATGTTGCGAGCGGAGCACACACACGCACATTTTTTTGGGAAGGTTTTTTTCGCGTGACGTATTTCGACGTAAATGTTGTGTTTGTTTGAAACGAATGTGCCCACGCGTTCCGGTGCTGCTGTAGTGTTGTAAAGGACGGACTTGTAAACTTCTTTATGGCACACACTGTTTATTATCTAAATACACAGTCCCTATCGCACCAAGGGGGTATATGGTCCCCTCACCCGTTACCCTGAGGAGACACAGCCTCCGGACCTTGCAGGCTATCTAATCTCCCTGCTATCCCAGCGTCCTCTGGCTGGACCTAGGGGATCTCTCCCCGACCACTGGTTACTCTGAGCCCGAGCCCTGATAAAAGCTGGAGGGCTTGGTCCAGGGTCCTAGATGTCTTCGGCTGACTTGGGTCTTCGTGTAGCAGAACTGGCCAAGAGCTCTCAGCGCTCCGGCTTTTATACCTGTTCGTGGCCGGGTTGTCCAATCCCCGGCCACCTTGTGGGACCCTCCGATTGGTCCTTCCCAATCTGGCGTTTGGATCCTACCTCACCCCATTTGACCCTGACTGTTTACGATCCGCTCTCTCACAGCTTGCGAACAGCGAGTAGTTAACACCAATACACTGCGAACGTTTCCCCGACTACGTCGCACGACGCACCGTTATTGGGCACCCCCTTGACACGCGAGAGGGTTCTGCCAGACCCGGTCGTTCAGCCGACCTGACCGACTCAGCGGTGCGCCAAGTTTGCTACCAACAAAGCAAAACACTAAAAAAACTAAATTTGTGTCGACGCGCTCTTCGACCGCGACATTCCCCGAGGCGATACGGCGCGGGGCTATGACACGGCAAGAGACAAAATGAAAGCGCGTGGGGATACGGGTTTTGTCTCGAACTCAACAATGGAGTTGTCTTTGTCGTGGTTTTTGTTGGGCGAAGGTGAGGAGTGCGAGGGGGCAACGTTGTATCCCCGCGCAGAAGGAACAGGTGGAGATTAGTCCGCACTTGAATTCGACCGCGCTCTACTGGCGAGCCAGGGTGGTATGGCTCCTCATTGACGCCCACCCACGGGGAGAAGGGAGTTTCACGACAATATCACGCGTGCGTGTGTGTGCGTGTGCGTGTGCGGTGATCCACCTAGCCCTCGCTGCTGCGGCTGCCTCCATAGCCCCATGTGCAACGTGACCACCACCACGATCAACACCACCACCAACATCAACACCACCAGCAGCAGTGACCCCGCGGGCAGCAGTGACCCCGCGGGCAGCAGTGACCCCACGGCCCCATCGCGGGTTCCGCTGCACGTGGCACGCGGAGACGGCCACACGCGTCAACAAAACGCTGCCACCCTCAGAGGGACAACCACGCAACGTTCCGGGCAATGGCCCTTGTCCGTTCTCGCCGCTGTGAAGAAGGGACATTGCCCGAAACGTCGCCTAATACACATTTGTTTCGCGTTTCGGGGCAGCGCCCGTTGACACATTGTTTGCCGAGCCGTTGACGTTGTTTGACCGTGTCTCCGTGTCGCTGTCTGCAGAGGAGCGGCACCCGCGCACAGGGTGGTGCGCTGCTTAGTTCTAGATTTGAAGCTTTCGTGGCTGCAAGGATTCATATTCTTAGGTTTTTTCGGTA